TTGCAAGTGCAAGGAGTCAAGTGCAATTGACTTGCGAGGAGTTAAAATCTCTTCTTAGGGCGGCGGGGTATTGCCGACGACACTACACGAAAATCGACCCTCTGCGGGGATCGGCGTGGTCGAGGTGCAAAAACCCATGGTTTTTTGCGATTTCTAACATGCTCGCGCGACCCTCTGCGGGGATCGGCGTGGTCGAGGTGCAAAAACCCATGTTTTTTTGCGATTTCTGCGGTGCTCGCGCGACCCTCTGCGGGGATCGGCGTGGTCGAGGTGCAAAAACCCATGGTTTTTTGCGATTTCTAACCTGCTCGCGCGACCCTCTGCGGGGATCGGCGTGGTCGAGGTGCAAAACCCATGGTTTTTTGCGATTTCTAACCTGCTCGCGCGACCCTCTGCGGGGATCGGCGTGGTCGAGGTGCAAAAACCCATGGTTTTTTGCGATTTCTGCGGTGCTCGCGCGACCCTCTGCGGGGATCGGCGTGGTCGAGGTGCAAAAACTCAAGGTTTTTTGCGATTTTTGTTGTTCGAACTGGTCCTCGGGAGTTGTCTCGTGGTTCGCGCGCCTGCTCCCGGAACCGGCGGGTCGCGGGTTCGATTCCTCCCTGGTCCGCGGGCGGGCGTCGCAAGATGCAACTTGCATTTAAAAGCAACTTGCGCAGAGCAACTTGCGCAGAGCAAGTTGCACAGAGCAACTTGCGCAGACCAACTTGCACCGACCAGTGTGCGCAAAGCGCCTTGCCTAGAGCAACTTGCGCAGAGCAACTTGCAGGGAGCGCAATTTGCACAGAGCAACTTGCAGGGAGCCACTTGCAGGGGCCAACTTGCCGGAGCAACTTGCGCGGAGCAACTTGCGCAGAGCAACTTGCACAGTGCAACTTGCGTAGAGCAACTTGCGCAGACCAACTTGCACCGACCAGTTTGCGCAGAGCACCTTGCCTGGTGCTGTCCCGCGCTTGCTTCACAAATGCTTCGTGGAGGGAAAAAGAACGCATCCTGCAGCGTTGGGCCGACCTCGCTTGCGATGTTATGCTTTCGGGCCAACCGTGGTCTAGTTTAGGGAAACCAAAAGGAGACCAAAGTGGATGTCTTTGAGACTTCTTGAGGTGGTTTTGTTCAGGGAGCACTAAAGGACACCAACCACTTTTGGGTAGACACATAGTGATGAACAATAGGGGAACTCAACCAGTTGTCCAAAAAAAGGCGCACGCCAAAATAGTTTGTTTTTCTTCTTTTTCCGGCTTTTCTTCAACTTAGCGGTGTTCGTTTGGTTTCCATCCAAAATTTTGGCTTTTCTTGGGTTTCAATTGCATGACGGTCGTGCGTGCCAGAGTTGCACCAACCCACAAAGCACGATGTGCAACCGCAACCGTTGAGCCCGGACTAATGTTCACTCCACATTGACAAACAAACCCTTGGTTGATTCATAGGCCCCCCCCCTTTAGTGGCAATCCTTTTATCTACCATCACTTTGCTTCGCGTTGCCCGCCCAGAAGGGCCTGCGAAGGGGAAGCTTGGGCGTCTCAGCTTCCCAACTTCCCCACTTGGGTCTTCAAGCTGCTTGATCAACTATTTCTTAGCAGTGAACTCAAACTAGACCACCGAATTTGATTGGTTTAGAGCCAACTGCCAACCCAATTCCAAGATTGTCCCAAGTGCAATGCCAAAACAAGAGCAGAAAGTTGGTCCTTGAACCCCCAAAATGGGCTTCGATCTCCGGTTGGTTTCCCTTCAAACCAACCCTCAAAAAGGGCCCCTCGAAAAAGACACCCCCCATTTTGGGGCTTGGTCATCTTTCAGGAATTGTGTGGAAGCAAACCTACCGGGCACCCTCCCAAAGCAGGGACGTGCGCAGGCCTCCTTTTGGAAGACTGTGATGGAAAAGGTTTGTATGGACTTTCAGGGTAAGTACTAGCTTACATGATTAGAATAGGGTTGATGGGTACAATAAAACCCCTGCAAACTGCTCTTATGACGGAATCCTTGAGAAACCCTCCCCCTGTCAGTGTTCCAAGCTTGATCAACCTGAGGATTGGTACGGTAAGTAGGTTGACACTCCCCGCTTGCACCTCTGGGGCACCTGGTGCCCGAAAACTGGAGCAGGGCTTCCGCTTCCCCGAAGCCATCCGCCAGCGCGAACAACGTCTCAGGGAACCCCTCAAAGACATAGGTGGGCCTGCCAAATCATGGGGGGGGGGTTGAAAAAATGGGGCACACCAAACCAAATCCATGAACATAGCTGGTGAAAAATGGGGTGCGGTGTCCTTGTCCTCCATTTGCTTCAGCCCTCTGGCAAAACATAGAACTATTTCCAACAGTGATAAACCCCCTTTAAAACCAACAAGAGGAAAACCATAGAACACATATTCATTTCAGCAAATGGAAGTTGTAGCTTCCCTCACCAAGCCTCCCCTTAGCGCAGTCCTCGCCAGGGGTCTGGCCGATCCGATGGTTCCGATCCCAAGGCGCCGGTAGCGGGCGCTGAGCAGCTTCTGGGCGTCCGCCTCACAGAGCTCCTGGGCCTCCGCGCTGCTCCGCTGGTAGTGCCAGAGGATCAGGACCTCGGCTGAGCTCGGCGAGCTCGGCGTACGGGTCGCGCACGGGTCACCGTCACCCCCAAGGCAACGGAAATCCAAACAGTGGGGTGGTGTGGGGTTCTCCGAAAAGGTCATCCTGGAAATGGCTCGTCGAAAAGGGATCCCTTGGAAATGGCTCGTGGGCTTGCGGGTCACCCCAAAGAGAGGTCCTGGGTTTCTCCAAAAGATGACCGCTTCCTGGAAATGGCTGGGTGTTGGGTTTGGTGGGCTCCGATGCTTGCGCTTACTCTGGAAGGAGCCCAAATGAGGGGTCCCGGGCCCCGGGTCACTTGAAAGGAGACCATCCCCTCTTGGAACTGGCGCCATGTTGCAAAATGCTGTGGGTTCCGTCCGAAAAGACCAGGCGCCGAAGCTTCCGCGACCCAAAGCGTCGAGCGTGGGAGATACAAAAATCATACAGCCACTGTAAATGGGGGGGGGGGAAGTTGCGGTTGGGGGGGGTACGGCTTTGCGTTGATTCCGTTTCCCTAAGGGCTACCTATACTCAGGTGCCTTCCACGGAGCCGAAGCTTCTGGGGTTTCATGGGATTTCCTACCGAACAACTCGCCCCAACACAAAAGGGGGTGGCGGTTTGAGGGTGGCGAAATCCATCTTAGATCCAGCTCTAATTGAATTTCAGGAAACTTAGTGGCAGCAGACCCCCTGGATTTCCCGCTGCATCATGCATGCGGGAACACAAAGGGGAACTCCGGCACAAGGTTTGGACACGATTTGTTCCGCTCGTTTCGTGCACGGTTTGGGAGGGATCCAGTCCCCATAAATCTACGCTGGGGACGGTCCAATAAACCCCAAATACCTTCACACCTCAGGTCTCGAGTGTCAACCCGGCATCTAAGTCGCAGCTGGTGGTTCTCCCAAGTCAAATGCGGGAGATTCGAATCCACGAGCCTGCAAACACGTGGCTAGAATTCTTGCTTGCCGTTGACCCCTCTGCAAAAAGTTGCGGGTTCAATGGGAAAAAAACCAATGATTTCAACCAAACAGTTCAAGTCTAAAGATCCAACCCAATAGCACTCCAGGAATTTGGTGGGCCAACTCCTTGGGGCCCCTTTGCTGGAAACCCAGGCCTCGCAGATGAACCCATCAAACCCCCCGTGCCCGCAGGTCGCAGCACGTCGCGGTAATCACCGGGGTTCGGGCGCAGAGCCAAAGTGCGCGGAGCTGCCGAAAGAAGAGGCCCCTGAAGTCCAAAGAGTGGACAACCCATAAGGTCCTTTTCTTTTTTCTTTTTTTTTGGGGGGGGGGATTCCCGTTAAAGCCATCCAAGCCCTCCATTTTTAGCACTTTTTTGGGCCCTGGAAAAATGATTGAACATATGACCAGAGATACCTTGCCCTTTAAAACCAACAGGGGAAATCACAAGATATTCTTAAGCAAATGGGGGCCATGGTTTTGTCACAGTCGTTGACTTGACAACCTTGATGGATCCAAAGCATAGCCGTGCCAGAATTCAACTTCCAGGCTCCAAAGATGAACGGGGAAAGTAGGGTCCTTCTTTTACGCATTTTTAATTCCAGCTTGGCCCAACAACTTGCTCCACCTGAAACCCTGGAAGATACCCTCACAGTGTACCAGAAAACAACTGTCCAAACTCGTTGCTGACCCACTGCAATGGTCTTCAAAAAAAACCACACGCTTCTGAATTCTGATTGTCAGACATGCGCACGCAATGCTGTCTTCGCCGAATGACCAACTGCATTGTTTCAACAACAGCAGCAGCGACAACTACAACAGACAGGCCAACCATTACAACGGCAGCGCCGGTCAGCGGGAGTGGGGCTGCGCTAGAAGGTGGCGGGAAAGTGCACAGGGCCAGGAAATGCACAGGGCGCTAAAAATAGGCGCGACATAAGCGCAAAATAAGGGCAACATAAGCACAACACAGGCGCACCATAGACACCAAACAAGCTTTAATAAGCTTTAAAGAGCTTTAATATGCTTTCATAAGCTTTAATAAACTTAGATAAGCTTTAATAAGCCCAAAATAAGCACAACATAGACTGTAATCCAAAACACTAGCAGGAAATAATCTTTAATAACAACTAGATAGCTGGCACTAGCATTTAAAAGCACGTGTTTTCCGGTATCTAGCCAGGTGCCGGAGCATTCCCGACAGCGCACGCACGAATAAGACCATACCTGATGGTAAGTGACTCAGCTCCAGCAAAACCAAACAGTTCAGACACTACCCCAAAATAGCCACTGATCTTGAGTGGATTAGTGCTGGCATCATCTCCAATGGAACTCTGGGCAAGGGAATAAAGGGTATGACTGCCCTGAATCTCAGGCCTTATGTTGCTACTATGTTGCCTTTATTAAAGTTTAATAATTCTTGCAAAACATAACAAGGAAATAAGCTTTAATAAGCTTTAATAAACTTTCGTAACATTTCACAAGCTTTAATAAGGGCAAAATAGGAAGAACCTGTGTAACCTCCTTATTCACAGGGAAATTGTGGATTTGGGGGCTGAATTTGCTGGGACCCCGTTAAAAACCTATGAAGTATCTCAAACTATGAATACTCTGTTGTTCTCCAGTGACCTTCCCAACAAGCAAGGTGGCCAATTGACAAAAGGCGGGCACACTTGGTCCCTGCTCTCACAAACGTGGGAAAAGTGATCCAAAGAGCGGATTCCAGGACACAAACAAGGCCCCATTTCCTGGAAGAATGGACCAAGCTGAGAACTGTTATACTGCCAGACCGCGCGCAACAAATGACACCCAAACCGCTCGGGAGAACTTGCTTGTTCCCAGTAGAGAATGGGGCATAGACTCCCTTGTACGCTCTAAACAAATACCTCTCAATCTAAATGCACGCACGCACACCAACCACACCTCCAGTTTTGGCCAATCTCCGTCACAGTCTTCGTTTGGGCTTTGTATTTGCATGGTCCTTGGCATGCTCCGTAGCCCGGCAACCCTCAAGGCAAAAACCTAGGCCTCCCTCCACTCCCCAGGAAGGGTTCTTAGAAACAGTTCCCCATCCCTCAAAAAGGGCAATTTTGTAACCGCCAGCCCGAGATGTTTGTGGATTTCACCACTCCTCCCCCCGGTTGGTCCTTTTCTAGTGTTCTTTTTGCACTCTTCTAACACCCGAAAGGGGAGCCGCAGATTCGCCACATCCACGGATTCGCTTTCCAGACGCATCCGTTGCTCCCGGCCCATTGCTCCGCGCCTGGCTACAACTCCCAGCAGCAGAAAAGCTCCGGCAGCTTTCTGCCACGCGCTGAGCGCCAGCACCATCGCCGCCAAGGCCCCACAAACCAGCAGCCGGGCCTCCCGGAAAAGGTCCAGGAGAGCCCCTCCCAAGGGTTGGGGGACTGATAAAGCCAAAAATCAGGCGAGGTCGAAGACTTGTTCAATGGCTGCGCACGTGCCTGCCACCAGCAACCCTGCGCACAAACATGTCCTGAGACGCTGGAAGCACCCCCCAAAGCAGAATCCTTGAATGGCGCGGGGAGACCCCAAGCGTCAGCCTGCCAAGGAGATCTTGGCAGCAATCTGGTCTTGACACGAACTTGGAGAAATTGCAGTTCTGCTGAAGCAAGCCAAAGTCTCTAGTCTGTCGTTGCGAATTTGGTGGGGGACGTAGTTGCGAGCGTTTGCAAAACTCTGTCAACTGTAGCAGGTCACTTTTTCCTGCTCGGATTACACACTACCTGTTTTTCCAGATTCGCTAAATCAGCTGGCATTTGGGTGATGAAGAAGCCGGCCCACATGCGTCCGAAAAGGACCCCTCTACTGTTGATCTCCGACTGCTAAGGTTTTGTTTGATGAATACAGGTGGGTTCATCACTTTTCTTGGTGACGCCCCCCAAAATTAATCTCAGTTGCCCAAGTGAGCCAGAAACAAAAAGCTTGACCTTTCAGGGCCATTTCAATGGATCCATCTCAAAAAGTCGATTCGCTTTGGGCATCAGCCCCAACCCCCCGAACCCCCCCCCCCCCCTTTAGTGCACGCACGCACCCAAACAACCCAACTTTGGTTCTTCTAACCCAAGCTCAACACACCGAGCCGCAACAACCAACCAACCAACCAACCAACCAACCACCCACCCACCCACCCACCCACCCACCCACCCACCCACCCACCCAACCAACCAACCAACCAACCAACCAACCAACCAACCAACCAACCAACCAACCAGCAGCCGAGGTCCGTGAACCCACCTAGCTCTCCCCAGCCCGCCCCCGACCTGCGCGGCCGCCAGCAGCTCCTCCGCCTCCTTCTGCGCCGCCAGCGCCTCCACCTCCTCCAGCCGCGCCTGCAGCACGCGCAGCTGCTCCGACCAGTCCTCGGAATTTTGATGGTTTCAGGGACCCTTAAGGGGTGAGGCAGGGGGGGGTAAGAGAGGTTGGGGGGGGGGCAGTGAAGGATAAGGTCTGAAGGCCTTGCTAAGGGGTCAACAAGGAGAAGACCCCTCTTCATAGCGACCCCAGGGGTCCATGAGCCTACCAGCCAGCTTTCGTGCTGTGGATGGGGATAAGACCAACGCCAGGCACCAATTGCTGCATGCAGGTGCTTTCTTTTGCTCCTATTCGTTGGGCCTCATCCATCAAACCCACCTCGAGGTTTGCTTGATTTTCATCTTCCTCAAATCCTTGCAGGACTTGGGCGGCTTGCCGTTGGCCCCAGACTTCTGCACTTTTCAGCAGGGTAAAGCATCACCGTTTGGGCACTTTCGAGAGGACAGACCGAACGCTGGCACCTTTTCTCACCGCCTCCAGACAAGTTTTTCGTATCGTCCCCGACGCTCGTGAACCAGAAACGAATTGCAATCTTAGCAGATGTGTTTGTGTGTTTGTGTAATATGGAACCCAAACAACCTTCTGGGGGTTCGGGGGGGGGGGGGGGGTTCACAATGGGTGGCCAACCCCCCCAAAGAACCAAGAACAGGTAACATGGGTATGTTGTTTCTTTCTTTCCCCCTGGAGTACTTATTTGTGGTTTTCAAAAGAAAACCAAAGGGACCGCCCAAGCCATGTTCTTAAAAGAGACACCGCATGCCATCCGCCGTCCCAAGCGCACCCACGAGAACTGCTCTCCTCCTTGGGCGCCGCCTTCCCGCGGCAACCCTCACACTGCCGGGCTTCGCAGCCTCGCTCGGAAGGCGACGGCCCGGGAAACGAACCTCGCCCCAAACCCAGAAGTCTGCCTCGCCCCAAAAGGAAACTCACCTTTGATTGGCAAAAAAGCGAGAGATGTCAAACCACCACAAGGGAACATATGGCCATGCGTTTTTGAAAACCCAAATCGTAGCAGTGAACATCCCACTCCAACCACTAAGATAGGTGCTGAAATGGGTGAATTCACCTATCCCAAAAATGGCACCATTGGTTTTGAGCCAGGGTTAAATCAGGAAAAGCTTTGACGCACCTGACATGCTGGTTTTAAAATGGTCTGGAGCACGCCTATGGTTCAGAAATAGAAGAGCGGATATCTGCGCCTATGGCTGGGGCAGTCCCTTAACGCCTTGCCCTTCTACTCACATAGGTTTTGAGCGAGCCCAGTTGTTTTGGGCCTGGGGTTGGGCCACATCTCGGAGGGCTTCAGTCTGGGAAAGTTCCACCACACTCAATGGTCTCCCTTTGGGAAAATTTTAGACGCTACGCGAAGGACAAGTGAGAAGTCCCACTCCATGATTCCCCTTGGGTTGCTCTAACTCAGGGCTCACTAAGGATTCATCGAATTCACCCTGAGTTACAGGAGAGACAAGTTCTCCTTCAATAGGGCCCGTTTCAAAAGGCATGCAGCCAGTGCTCATGACTCGCGAAGGCCTCTCTCTGGCAACTTGGCCCAGCAACCAAAGTAAGCAAGCAAGCAAAGCAAGGCAAGGCAGAGCAAAGCAAATCAAACCAAAGCCAGAAAACACACACACACACAAACACACTTCACGGCGCGCTAAGGCAAAACACATTTCGCCACTTGAGGAGAAACCACATGTACAGATCCCGCGCCACCCCCACCCACTCACTGCCTGAGCGGTAGGGGCAGCAACGCTCGCAAAAGAGGCGACCGCAGCTGCGGCAGTGGTGCCTGCGCCTCTGGCTAACGCTGCAAGGGTATGTTTTGAGGGTATCCTTTTTCTGGTTTCCAGGCTGGTTTGCAGGGAAACCAACCAACTTATGGGGGATTCCCATCTTAGGTTCTACAGGGGTTGCGCAGCAATACGAGATCCCCGAAACCTTCATCCTTGTGTGTGGCTTCAAGGGTCGGGTTTGTGCATTTCTTGGGCATCTAATCCGTGCTGTTCAAATTGGCCCCGCATCCCTAATCCGAGAACCCACGGCCATCTGGCATGGGAATTGAGGGTTGCCTCTGAACAGCCAAAGGTCATAAGTGCTCCCTGTGTCCGGTATGGCAATGTCAACAGTATGTCATGCTGAAAGCATTGCATTCCGGGTGGCATTGTCCGTTGCGCCCTGCGAATATCGACTCAGGCGCAAGGTATGCTGAAAGGACAGCTGGGTCGACCCACGTGGGTCGAACAACCTTTGGAAGCTCATGATCGCCCCAATGCAGCCAAGACCTGAACAAGGCTTGGACGTTTGCAAAGCGAACCTAAGCCACGGGCAACAACACTTCTCACAAACATGTGCATGCACGTATGCATATACTTCTTGACATACATGCATATCTCCACATCTATCTATCTATCTATCTGCCTGTCTGTCTATCTATCTAATCCAAGTATCAATCAAAATATATATTCTATTTATTGATCTATCCGTTTATCTTTATACATGTGTGTGCGTGCATCTGCCTGTTTATGTAGCTTCCCTTTGCATGTGCATCGCGTATGAGTTCGCATGCCAAGTCTCACCAAGCTGCCTACTGGGCTCCCCTTTCCTTGTCCCGTGGGTTGGGCGATTCAGCCGCTTAAGCAAAAATAGAAAGAACCACGAGCCACTCTTGCGTGAGCTGGCTTCCCTAAGGCCGCCGGGGCTTCGCTCCCGGCCCCTCTTGGTCCCTCGGATCGATCCCCTGCCGCTTCCAACCCCCCGCCGGATCAGCGTGAAGGTGGCGTCGCAGGCCATGCAGGAACTGGCGGCGGAGTCCGGCAGCCACGTGACGGCTCCTTCGAACGGAGCGAGCGCCCGGCCGCGGAGCGCGGGATTCAAACGGAGCCAACCGATGGGACGGGGGGGGGATTTCCCAAAGGAGCCGCTTTGGGGTGGTTTTGAAGCCCAGCCCCGGAATTTGAGACTCTCGCGGATCAAGACGGGGTGCTTTTTTCCCTAAAATGATCCCGGACCACCGCTCAGCGAGTTTTTTGGTCATGGCGGTGTGGGCGCCAGATATGACTTTGCGGCCTTATGAACGTCACCCACGAACCATAAAGAACAGACTCTCCACCTCTGAGGTGACGTCGAGCTCTGAATCAGGTGGCCCAAGCCATGATCTACCGCCGCTCTCTGCTCCGTGCAAAGAATGAACCCGGCCACTTGTCCCTGCGATAAGGTCGAGTTTGGATCCATCAACTTGTCTGTCAGATCATTTTACGTGGTGTGTTAACACTAAGTGGCTCGTTGATCTGCAACAACAATCAGCCAACTATAGGATATGTGGCTGATGGAACTTGCTCCCCATTTGGATGTGATCCTCCTGGAACGCGACACCCCCGTCTAAACAACCAGGCCCAGCACGCCCGATTCGGGTCCTGGAAACAGCTCAGCTACCTCAGCACGTGGGCAAGAAGCAGAACCCGAGGTTCTTCGGCCCTGACCAGCGCGGCCGATAATTGAAACCACGCAAACAGACGATCACCCGTTGCCTGTGCGCCCCAGTCGTCACGAGCCAGGGATCTGCAGGGAAGATAGACATGACCAGCTTGCATATGCTCCAAAAAGGTAGTGGAACCTGAAAGAGGGTCCTCTTTGCCAGTTCTAGCCTTCTTTTGCCCCCTCCACCAGTGTGCAAACAAAAAATCGTGATCCATCAACAGTGACTAGATTTCGTCAACTGAAAAGAAGGGATCTCCTGAATAAAGGGAAAAGCGCCGCCTACTTCCACCCTGGTTTGGATTTAGTCCATATTGCGTGAAATCTGAAATAGATAACTATATAAAGAGAGGCCTGACCCCAACTTCACCCAACTCTATTGGGAATTCCCTTGAAGAGGCTTTGGGAATCGACAGGGGTTTGGGAATGGAACTCCCTCAAAGGAAACCAGTATGGGTCACGGGGAACCTTCCAACTTCCGGAATCTCAGAACCTGTCTCACTGCACGAAACCCAACTCAATATGATTGGAGTCTAGTTGTAATGACTTTGCCCCCTATATACCTCCTTTGTGTTTCCCATCAAAACGACCCCATAGCCTCAACGACAATTAAGCCCAATCCTTACTTTGAATTTGAAAACAATCCCTGGAACCAGCCTCTGGCGGCAGCCAGGTCCCGGCACCGAACCGGGCCCCGCACCCTCCTAGGTCCTCCAGTATAAGTTGGTACCAACTTTTTCCCCAGCCCAGATGGCTCGGGGTGGTCCGGGGCGGCCCTAAAGTAAGGTTCCACGAGGGTTCTCTATTTTAGTAGGGGAACCCTCCCAACCAAAAAAGGGGTGCGAGGTCGGGCACCCTTTCGCTGGGGTACTGTACTCTAGCGAGCCTCCATTCGCCGGGCCCCGCGCCGGCAGCTTCGCGCGCACCTCTGCCACGAAGGGCCGCAGCGCCATCAGCGCCGAGATGCTGCCTGCGGCTCGCCCGCCCTTCGCCGTGGGACGTGGGACGCGACTCGCCGTGTGACTCGGAACCCATGGGAGGTATTGGTTTTGCGGCTTTTTTTCGGGAAAAGGGGGGGTGAAAGTGGCATTTGGACGTGTTTAGTGGTATTTTGACCCCAGAAGTTGCTTTTTCTCAGGCTGCGCATGCAACATGTTATCGGGGGAACCCGAATCCACGTGGGATCTGGACCGGAGCTGTGCCCTTTGCTTCGTCAACGACCCGCGTTGTGGAAGGGGAGCCCAAATGGTTCCCTGAAAACGGCAAAGCACCCTCAAAAGTTGCAGTGGGCATGAAAATTGGGAGCCCGGCTGACCTTGAGAAAGGAAGGCGCAAACCTCTTTTCAATCAATGTTTTTGTTTTTTCTGCGGGGGGGGGGGGGACACACACCTTTTTGTGACGCCGGGTGTGTTGCTCCGCACAATTTCTGGAGCAGTCCTTTCGAGGTTGCCTTCATAAGAATGATGGAATAGACTCGACCGTCGATTAATTCTGATTTTGGGGGTTATGTGCTTGCTTTTTCATTTCAGAGGGGATCCGGGATCACTTCTGGGGCACACCCCGCCCCAAGCGGGGCCCCGGCAATGGCCTCGCAGCGCCAGGCGATTTTGCGCATAGGCCTGGGATGGAGAGAGGCGGCCGTGCGCCAAGGCCCAGCAGTCCTAAGCTGCGAACTCGGAGGTCGCGGCGCGAGCCGGAACCGAAGGCGTGACGGCTGGATGGTGGCTGCTTAAGAAACGGAATCCCCAAATGTCGCCTTAGTAAATGAAGACCTGCACCCAGCTCTTCACTTTTGAGCCACACCCGTTCCAATTGCTGCTCAGATTGAGGGCTTAGGCTTCGGGGTTGGCAACCTAAAGAGACACCCTCCTAACCCATGGGGCAATGGGTTGGCTGTGTTCGGCCCCAGATGATCTCCTTGTTTGAGACCGGTGCAAAAGCGAACGCATCCATGGCACTCGCACTTCGTCCTACCCCTTTGCGGTCCCTGTTGTGGCCATCCGCCGGCACCACTTAGAGCACATGCTCAAAGGCTCCAAACCGTTCGCAGCCATCGGTATAGAGTGGCAATGCGACAACCCGTCTATCTAGGAAAGACGAATTCCGCTTTTGCTTGGGCGTGGGGAAGGCCCAAGCCTGTCTGACGCATGATATCGGAAACCGTGAGGCGCCCCTAGCGTTGGCACATGCCCACTTTGCACACCACACCCAAGCAAACCAAATAGCCCAACGCTTCGCAAAGCCAGCCGAAACCAAATTGAGCGTGTCTCAAATGGAAGCAAGCAGGAAGCAAACTTCTTTTTTTTTGGGGGGGCGTCCCCCCATTTCACGAAACACCTGACTCACCAAGCCTGCCCCTAGGTGTCCTTTTGGAAATAGATCGCAATGGCACATGTTTGGAATCAAACTAAAACCAATCCCATCTATGCCCATCAAACTGATCCAAAACACCGACACCTATGTTCACACCGAATATGGGAGAACAATATTATGTATATATATATATTATAAATATAGGTCTGTGTAACTGGATGGCCCTGAGCATCGTTGTTTTCCTTTTCGCTTCGCTTAAACAAGGTCGACCCCACAAAGGCACCAACTCAAAAAGCGCACCCCCCATGATTTTCGCCGAGCTGGCACGCCCAGCCAAACCCCTGGATTCCTTCCGGAACCCGAAGAAGGCGGGCAAAGACCCTGAAGGTTTCGGCTGGGGCAGCAAACGGCAGACACAACAAGCCACAAGCAAGAAGCAACAAAAACAATTAAGCACCAAAGTCAAAAGAAGCCGGAACAAAACTCAAAGAATCCCCACCAGAAAACCAAGCACCAAAGTCAACAAAAAAAAACAGAAGCAACAAACAAATAAAGAAACCACGCAGCACACCGGGAACACGCGCCATGGGTCACACCCCAGCCAGGTTTAAGTTTCGATCCAGGCGCCGAGGCCGAGCGGAAGACCACGGTGCAGTCGCTCTCCTGGCCTTCAGGCTGGCCTCAATGGGAGATCCCATGCTCGGCGAGGAAAGGACGTGAAAAGGGAAAAGAGATTAGGTAGGTGAGTGCCATTTTTTTCTTTGCATCTCAGAAATGATTGCTTGGAAAGGAAGGGGTGGTGAGATCTATCTTTTCCCTTTAGGCAGGTGAGGAAAGGGAAAGAGATTAGGGAAATGATGAGGTATAAGATCTATCTCTTTCCTTTTCCATCCTACACCTTCCTAAATCTCAGAAATGATTGCTTGGAAAGGAAGGGGTGCCCTTTTGCGGGTTTAAAGGGAAACCAAAAGGACACCCAGAGCAAACCGCAGCGGTTTTGAGGGGGGTGGATCCTGGGGCCACCTTTTGGTATTTACAAGGGTGACCACAAGGGAACCAAGCATTTTAGGGGGGGCCCTATAAGAATCCCTGAAAATGGAGTAGCAGGCAGATTGCAAGATCAAAGGCGAGACTAAGAAGACTAAGCAGGGTAGTCCCCTAAATTTGGGTGCATTCCAACAGTCCTTCTCCACTGATCTGGGATCCCCACGCACCAGCGCGGAACCATCCCGCGACAGCACGAAGCGCTCATTGGCGACCTCGAACCGCGAAGCGCAAACCCTCGCAAGCCAAAGAACGCGACCGAATGTTTCGCTGTCCGAGCCCCGATTCAGTTTCGCAAGCCGAGCACAGAATGAGGGCAGCGATCAACACCCAGCCCGCCCAAACCCCATGCCAAGTCAACTGACACCCGCACAACTCCGCTCTGATGTGTCCAAAAGTAGGGGAGAACCCGAGTGTCTCCTAAAACAACCCGGGCCTATCCAAACAGGCGGATATCCACACCTACTTTTCCCTTACGAACCTTCACTTGCCCGGGCTGTGATTGTGGTTCAAACCTTTTCCTTGTCATTTAGAAGGGGGACCACAAGGGAACCGACCATTTTAGGGGGGGGGTCCTATCAGAACCCCTTCAAAACGAAGTAGGAGAATCATTTCAAGATAGAATGCCAAACTGATAAACTGGGTAGTCCTCCAAACTTGGCTGAATTCCAACAACCCTTTTTCACTTGCAATCATTGGACAAAAATGAAGCCAATGATGAACCCAACAATACCACCTTTCTAACAACCAGAATCTAACCGTTTGGTTGGTAGTTGGAAAGGGGAACCACAAAGGGAACGGACCATTTTAGGAGGGTCCCTTTCAGAATCCTTGCAACAGGAGTTGCAGAATTCCAAGACTTTCAACATGAGAATCTGCATTTTTTCGTCTTGCTGGTGCTCAGTAGGGGAACGACAGTTCCGGGTCTTGGGAATGAACCGGAAGGGGATTCCTTTTAAAGGTAACCAATCGTTTTTATTTTTATTTTTGGGGGGGGGCCGGGGGGCCATTGCAAGTCTCATTCCCTGCGTATCGAACCAGCAAGTCCTCCACCACCACCACGCATATTACTCGAAAGCTAGTCCCCGTGTAAAAAACAAAAAAACAAATCAAAACCAAAAGGTGGGTTCAACTCAATAACAAGACAAGCTCATATTGGTAATGTTCACCCCATATTAAGCAACAGTTTATTAAAAGGGGGGGCTCCAAAAGTGGTCTGATTCCCCACATTTCACCCGGAAACGGACACTCCCCTACTAAAAAACACACACTGGGGTTTCTAAAAACATGGGAATGGAAATCTGTCCAAGAAACTTATTTTCCAC